TGGGGAAAAACGATTGCTACCTCGACTTCGCTAGAGAGGATTGTTTCGACCATTGTGGAATCGTTGGACACTGACTTGATCGTTGCCATTCATGGTGTCAACGGAAAGTAGCTATTGAAAATCATTTTCTTGCATCGATGTTTTTGTGGCGTCAACGTGAAGACATTGTCATGTCAACGCTCGCATGAGTATTTTGCTTGCGTCGTCATTGCTATACAAGTTTGGTTGTGTGGTCATCGTCGAGTTCATGAGCTGCTCGAGTTGTCGTTGGATATGAAGTTGCTCGAGTTCGATGGTTAAGTCATAACTGATTCAATTCACAAGACAAAGATTTAAATCTCGAACTCACGTGTTATTAAATTATTAAAAAAAATTAAGATCTATATTATTAATTATTATTTAAAAAAAAGCTTCTAGAAAGGAAAAAGAAAATACATTCGAAATACCATACGGACGATTATTTTATTTTATTTTATTTATTTGTTTATTTTGTTTGTTAAGCTTCCTTGCATCACTGCCACGTCAGCAACATGATTCTAAAATTAAAAAACGAAACCATTTTTTAATTAAAAAAATACCAAAATTATTTTTACTTTCTTTCCACGGAATTAATTTAAGAAATAAAATATAAAATAAAATATGAACATCCCAAAGATTCGGAAAGGAAATTAGAGGGCACAGTGGAATTTGGAATACCAAAAAAGAGACAATTCGGAGCTGTCTATGTCAAATTTGCTAGCATCTCAAGGGCATCCATGGAATTATGAAAATTTGTGTGCTCGGTATAATTTATTATTATCAATTTAGTCCCTATAATTTTAAAAAATTAGAATTTAGTCCTTATAACTTTAAATATTTAAATTAATTTCTATAATTTGATAAAACTCTAAAAAAAATAGACTCTATTATACCACGAGTATTTTCTCGATTTATTGAATTGTAAGGACAAAATTCTAACTTTTAATTATAATTTGTTAATTTTGGTAAAAAAAAAAAGTTTATAATTTGACTTAAATAACGTGTCAAAACTATAATTTGAAAAAGAGATTAATCCATATTTATTTAGTTAAATAAATTACAAAGAATATTGAGGGGTAGACTTTGTTTTCACAAGGGCATTTAGGGAATAAATCAATATTGAGGTACATTGAATGAAATTAAAAATTAATTTTTTTTTTTTTTAAAAAAAAAGTCAATTGAGTAAATCAATTATATCCAAAAATTCAATTTATTGACTTTGATTTCATAATCCAAAAATAAAAAATCATTTCAAAAAAAATATTTAAAAATCATGTTCACATTTAAAAGTTTCTAAAAAAATTAAAAATTATTCAAATTATATATATATATATATATATATATTTAAATTTTTTAAAATTTAAAGATATTTTAGAAATAAAATACTAATAATTTTCGTTCGAAATTATATATATATATTTTAAATACTCACATAGACCCTCTTAATTGCACACGAACGTCGCTTGCTTGTCATTGATTTTGTTGAATGATTATATATATCTTTAAGAGTGTGTTGAATGATTATGTATCGTGAATAAATATAAATTTATAAAATAATTTAAATAACTCGACCGCTCGACCCGACCGGAAAATAGAAATATTATTTGTAAATATTGCGGATTTTAATTCTTTAAATATCATATTATCCACCCTAATAAAAATATTGTAATAAAATAATAATATGAAGGGAGAAAAAAATAGGAACACGAAAGCTTGAAAGCCACATTTTGGGTCAAAAGGAAAAATCCAAGAAACTAACCATTTCGCTTTCAAGTTGAGAAATTATGCAATGTAATCACATGTTATGACCAAGAATTTCAAGGGTAAATTTGTCTTTTATTGGTTGGACGAAACTAAAAGAAATTGAAAAAAAATCGAGCATGTCTCATCGATAATTGAAATGTACTCCTCTCGAGATTAAAAGTTCAAATCTTCATATTTTATACTTGGGGATAGCAAAATTACTCATGGGGTCGGGTCTCACAGGCCCTACCCTGTTTTGATTTGATCAGGTATGGAGTTTAGATTAGAGATCCTTTTCGGGTCTGTAGATGGTGAAGGGGACAATATCCTCGGTTGTCCCTGATTGTGAGATCTCACATTGGTTGGAGAGAAGAACTATACGTTTTTTATAAGGGTGTGGAAACGACAGTGATACATAAGGAGTTAAAACGGACAATATCTACTAGCAGTGGACTTGGGTCGTTACAATGGTATCAGAGTCAGATATCAGGCGGAGTGCCAGTAAGGACGCTGGAACCGGTATGCCAGTAAAGACGCTAGACCAAAAGGGTGGATTGTGAGATTTCACATTGGTTAGGAGGAACGAAACATTTCTTATAAAAACTTCTATCTAGTAGACACGTTTTAAAATCGTGAGGCTGATGTCAATACATAACAAACTAAAGAGATGATATATGTTCTACGCCAATTAAATTATGCTCGTTCGGGAGAAAAAAAAATGTTAAATAGAAAAATTTACTCGTAATTTTTCTTTTTTGTAACAAAGTGATACCGATTATGAAGTTAGAACAGAAGCGACAAGACATCCTTTGAAACATAATCAATCAGTTAGGCAGCTAAGGTTCTCAATCATATCTAAAGTTGGAAAGATTTTTGGTATATATGCACAATCTATCAAAATCAATGTCACAATCAATCATTTCCAAATGCATGTACTTAAAAATTACTCTAATTTACAAATTTATTTTCGAAAATTTTGAATTTTATGTTAATTTGGTCTCTGTAACGACCCCGACCTACTGTTATTGTCTTCTTTGAGCTTTCCATTTCGAGTTTTCGTTCAAAACTTTTAAGGGTGTTTCGTTCTCCTCCCCTGAAGATTCTCACAATCTACCCCCCTTCGGGGCCTAGTGTCCTCGCTGGCATTCGTTTCTTTCTCCAATCGATGTGGTATCCCCACAAAATCCACCCCCTTTGGTTCCAGCGTCCTTACTAGCACACCGCATCGTGTCTACCCTTGGGGCCCAACGTCCTCGCTGGCACTCGTTCTTTCTCCAATTGATGTGGGACCCTACAAAATCCACTCCCTTTGGAGCCAGCATTCTCACTGGCACACCGCCTCGTGTTTACCCCCTACGGGGAAGAGCCTCCTCGTGGTCCTTGGCACTCATTTCTTTCTCTAATTGATGTGGGACCCCCACAAAATCCACCCCCTTCGGGGCTAGCGTCCTTACTGGTACATCGCCTCGTGTCTACCTTCGGGGCCCAACATTCTCGCTGGCACTCGTTCCTTTTTTCAATCGATGTGGGACCTCTACAAAATCCACTCCCTTCGGAGCCAGCGTCCTCACTAGCACACCGCCTCGTGTCTATCCCCTTCGAGGAAGAGCCTCCTCGTATCTACCCCCCACGGAGAACACCCTCCTCGTGTCTACCCCCTTTAGAGAACAACCTCCTCGCTGACACATAATCCGGTGTCTGGCTCTGATCCCATTTGTAACGGTTCAGGCCCACCGTTAGCAAATATTGTCTTCTTTGAACTTTCCCTTTCAAGCTTTCCCTCAACGTTTTTAAAATGCTTATGTTAGGGAGAAGTTTCCACACCCTTATAAAGGGGTGTTTCGTTCTCCACACTAACCGACGTGGGATCTCACACTAAACTTTTAAAATTACTAATTTAGTCCCTAAACTATTTTTTGAAATTCACGGATTTCCTCGACTCAAAATTAATATTCTAAGGTTTCATTATATATAAAATTCACATTTATATCTATCATATCTCTTATTTTTTTTTTCAGAATTTTGAACGTGTCAAGAAACTATTAAATACAAAATTAAACGTTTAGGGACTTATTAGATATTTTTGAAAGTTCAGAAATCAAATATATACATATATGAAAGTTAAATGACTAAACTTATATCTAAATTATTTTAATTTAGCATATACTAAAATATTCTAAAATATTAAAATATATTAAAATATTATATATATATATATATTTATTTATGTTAATTAGTTCTATAATTTTGATTAGTCTTCATTTTTTTTATTTTATATAATCTTTATTAAAATCGTAAAAAAAATCTTTAAAAATTAATATATTAAACTTAATTTCTAAAAATTTAAATTTTAATATCACAACATAATTTTTAATAATTAAAAAAAATCTTAACGTAATTTTTAGTTTAAATTTTATAATAAGAGTTTCCAAACTAATTGATTTATTCATTTTTAATATGGTTAAGAAGTAGAAATGTATGTGGACGAAAACAGAGATGAAAAATATAATTTGTGAGATCTCACATCCGTTGAGGAAGACAGCGAAACATTATTTATAGAGTGGTGGATTTGGGATGTTATAAATGGTATTAGATTCATACACCGGGCGATGCGCTAGAAAGGAGATTGATCTCCAAAAGGGGTGGATTGAGGGTCTCACGTCAATTGGAGAAGGGAACGAGAGATCCCACATTGGTTGGGGAGGAGAACAAAACACTTTTTGTAAGGGCGTGGAAACCTCTTCCTAGTAGACGCGTTTTAAAAACCTTTAGAGGAAGGTCAGAGAGAACAATATCTACTAGCGGTGGATTTGAGCCGTAACATAATTTCATCCCTAGCCCCGTGTAACTGAGAAAAACATTCCCCATCCCTATTCCCCACCCTATTCGGGATGTACCTCCGCGGGTCCCGACCCCATAGATAAAATGAATCTCTTTTACTTGAGCATCACAAGTTATTACTTTAACGGTCTCTACTAAAAGTTTGAGATGTTTAAAGCCCATAGTTTCAACAAATCCACCAATCATTACTCAACAAATTACCCACAAAAACAGAATTTGGGAGTTTTCTAGAGTTGCCACAAGATCAGTCAAACAAACTGTAAAGAGATTGACAATGGTGTATGCATTTTCAAATTCAAATTCAATCTCAATCCCTAAATTTAGATCACTAACAAAGAATTGCCCCCAAAATCATCCATGTCAAACCCACCGACCCAACAAGCTAAAGGTAAGTAACAATTGGCCAATGGAAAGTTGAAGATTTGCACGCAAAAACAACGCCCAAACGTCCCTCTCTACCATCATCTTTCGCACACTCTAAACCAGTAATACACGAGCGCCACCTCACAGCCCCCACCATCATCGTCATCAAACCTTCCACTGGGTTTACTTTCCTTCATCTCAGACTTTTAACACAACCCCAATCGATTATCTACTGCAATTCTTCCTGATTTTTGCTTAAATTCATGATCGGAGTAAGGGGGGCCTTCTAATTTCTCCAATCCCTCCATTTTCGCCATCTGGGTCGCGCTCGTTTGAGGTCAAATACATGCTGCCAAGTCCTGATATGCCTTTTTGGGTGATTTTGACATCTGGGTATTGTTGATTTGTACGGTGTTTTGTGGGGTTTTTATGGTTTTGACTCTTGTAGGGAGTTTTCTGCATCATTTGGGTAAATTTGATTTCTGGGTTGATGGTAAATCAAGTATATACTCTGTTTATCAGTTTGATTGATTCTTCAGTTGATTATCATATTTACTGAATTTGACCTCTTTGGTTTATGAGTTCCATGACCCAAAAGGTTGTGGCTGATATCCCGATGATCCTGTAGCTAGGTGGTTTTTACTTATTCCTTGATATCCTGTTGGCTTCCTGTTCATGGCTGATATACTTGATTCTATCTTCTCTTCAAGGCTTCTTGTATCTTGTCCTGGCCTCATCGGTTTCTATGCATATCTCCGAATCTCCTGCGAGTATTAGCTAGGCTTTTGGGTTGTTTTGATTTTGGTATCTTGGGTGACTGTTGTAGGGGGAATAAACCAGGCGAATTGAGAAAGAAATGAGAAGAAAGTGGCGAGTGGGATGCCGGGTGGGCGGCTCTCGGTTTTTGAGCGTGTTCGGAGATTAGGCGGCAGTTTCAAGACTCGAAAGCTTGACGAACAAGCAAATCAAGCCCTAACTGTTTCTTTGAGTAAAGGGCTTTTCCCTTACTAGTCAAGTGGTAAGGTAGAGCGTATTCAGCTCAGCTGGTTAGAGCAAAGGACTGAAAATCCTTGGGTAAGTGGTTCGAATCCGCTTCAGGGATATCCATTTGTGACCAATTGTAAGTTCCTCCCTTTATATATGCTCATTGTTGCATCGAGGCATGTTAAGTTGTAACTCTTAGGCTACTTGTCATGTTGTTCGTGTAATACTAAGAACACGAAAGTCGATATCTGAGGTGGTTTGCTTGCTGATTTGCTGCATTCAAACATAATGATATAATGATAGTTGCTAGTAGATATAGTCTTCTTTGGGTTTGTCCTTCTGGGGTTGCCCTTAAGGTTTTTAAAATGCGTAAGGAGAGATTTCCACACCCTTATAAAGAATGTTTCGTTCTCCTCCGCAACCGATATGGGATCTCACAATCCACCCCCTTTGGGGCCTAGCATTCTCGCTGGCACTCATTCCCTTCTTCAATTGATGTGGGACTCCCTAATCCACTCCCCTTCGAGGCCCGGTACCATTGCTGGCACACCGTCTCGTGTTTACCCCCCCTTCGGGGCTTAGCCTTCTCGTTGGCGCATCGCCCGGTGTTTGGTTCTGATACCATTTGTAACGACCCAAACTCACCGCTAGCAGGTATTGTCCTCTTTGGGCTTGCCTTCAAGGTTTTTAAAACATATTTGCCAGGGAGAGGTTTCCACACCCTTATAAAGAATGCTTCGTTCTCCTCTCCAACCGATGTGAAATCCCACATCCACTCCCCTTCGGGGCTCAGTGTCCTCGCTAACACTCGTTCCCTTCTTCAATTGATGTGGGACTCCCTAATCCACTCCCCTTCGGGGCTCAGTGCCATTGCTGGCACACCGTCTCATGTCTACCCCGCTTCGGAGCTTAGTCTCCTCATTGGCGCATCACCTAGTGTTTGACTCTGATACCATTTGTAACGGCCCAAACCCACCGCTAGCAGATATTGTCCTCTTTGGACTTGCCCTCCACGTTTTTAAAACGCGTTTGCTAGAGAGATGTTTCCACACCCTTATAAAGAATGCTTCCTTCTCCTCCCCATCCGATGTGGGATCTCACAATATTGCTATCTAAGGCTGAATTGCATTTCCTACCCATCTCTAACAACAACTAATTAATATTACTGTTTTTTAGCTTCTTCTTGGTGTATTAGATCTAATCTCTTTCATAACTACTATCTTCCCCTGACACAGACAACTCAAATTTTGACCTTATATATTTCGTTTATTTCAAAGAGATTGTATCTTTTCCGCGGAAAAAAAGGTTATTTATAGCCTTTGTCCTCTTTGGGCTTTCCCTTTCGAGCTTCCCCTCAAGGTTTTTAAAACACGTTTGCTGGGGAGAGGTTTCCACACTCTTATAAAGAACGTTTTGTTCTCCTCCCCAACCGATGTGGGATCTCACAATTCAGTGCCAGCGAGGACGCTGGGCCCCAGAAGGGGGTGGATTGTGAGATCCCACATCGTTGGGAGAGGAGAACGAAACGTTCTTTATAAGAGTATGGAAACCTCTCTCTAGCAGACGCGTTTTAAAAACCTTGAGGGGAAGCCTGAAAAGAAAAGCCCAAAGAGAACAATATCTGCTAGCGGTAGGCTTAGGGTCGTTTCATTTAGAATCCAGTACTATGTAGTCCTTTTCAGTCATTCTCCCACAGCATTTCCCATGCAGTGATGCCTTTGGTTTCCATATCATTGCAGTATTACAGAGAACCTCGAAGTATATGCCATGGCTGATGGCAGTCCAGGGACCGACATCTCTACAGACGTCGACACAGATGACAAAAACCAGAGGGTAATATGTCTTTCATATTCTAACAATGAGCTATCTTCTACTTTTTCATTTACATGATTCATATATATATATATATTTCTATTACAGCTTGATATGGTTCTGCTTAATGCTGCTGTGGCTTCTGATTCAAGTGATAGAACAAAAGACAAGTCTGATCAGAAGGTTGTGCTCCTATATTAGTTATGTAATTGATATCAGATATTCATATTCTTGGCTGTGACAAAAATGGCTTATTATCTTTCAGACTCTACGTAGGCTTGCACAGAATCGTGAAGCTGCCCGAAAAAGTCGACTGCGAAAAAAGGTACGGCTCTACATTTGTCCTTACAATCATGGTGTCGTTTCCATTGCTATTATTTTGTTAAGTAATTGAAGTAGTAGAAAGGCAACTTATTGAAAAACGTTCGTTCTCACGGGTGTGTACTTGTAATTGTATCGGATAGATTCTTGAACTTTCACAAATGAATCAATTTAGACCATCCATTTCAAATGTAGGGACGACCTTTAATTAGAAGGTTTGAGTTTTTTTTAGAAGCTTACATGTGTAAGAATTGGAGACGGAATGATTTTTAAACTAAGAGTCTAAATTGATTCATGTATGAATGTTCGAGAGTTTAATTATATTATTATAAGTTTGCACGCGTGTGAACTAATGTTTTTCATTCATGATCTAATAAGGGATGTAAATTGATATTTTTATAAAAGTTCAAGGTTTAAATGGATATAATTATTAGCTCAAAGTTTTAATTGCTACAACCTCAAGTGGTTGTGGCTCATGGAAAGGCCTTAGGGTAATGCTCACAAGTCTGGAGAGCTCTTTTTTCTCTAAATGGTGACCGTACTCCATATATATCTACTCATTGAGCTCTAATTAGCGAATTCTCCTTAATGGTGTCGGGTGTCACAATCGCACTCTTGCGACAGTGAGACAGTGATTGTGCGACACTTGTTCTAACCCAGCAAACAAGTTAGACCTGAGAAATTCGGACTTCCCGGACAAGATCAGTGTATGCTCAAGCCTCAAGTCATGTTTGCGAGAAAATACTTTTGAGCGAGGAAATACATTTGAAAACAATTTGAAAGAATTGAAGAAAGCAACATTATATGGCGGTAAGCAAAGAAAGAACACCATAGCTTAAATAGCATATAACTTAGTGTAGGAGGAATAGACAACTAGTCGTATCCCTATAGTACATTTCGGGGCATTTTAGCCATGATGGGTGTAGACGTGATTCTGGTGAACGGTAATAGTAAAGACCTATCTAAGATCAAAGCATGTAAAAGGAGTTTGGAATTGGCATGTGGCCATGGACAACACGTCTTGGACAAGCATGACCGGGACATCTGACATGTGGCCATAGATAACAGGGCCTTGGACAAGCATGACTGTGACACCGGGCAACATCTACTTGTTCCTAAGATCAGTAAACTACCTGTCACTATTCCTTTCTAGGCTGGAACAACAAACTACCTGCTCATGTACCCTCATCGGGTTAGAACAGTAGAACTACATGTCTTAGGAACAGTAACTACCTGGTACTTTGCCTTTTCAGGCTAGAACAGTAAAATTACCTGTCATTACGCCACTCAAGTTGAAACAGTAAATAGGTCATGGCTCTCCCCATTAGGCACCACCAATGGTAATTCAGTAGTATACCCTCCAACTCCTGAAATCCTTATGGGTGAGAATTAAGCTATGTGTAATAAGTAGACCCTTACCTCTATTGGTTAGTTCACGAATAGTGGTTGCACCCTATCCGTCCCTACAAGGTACCTGGTGAACCCAATGAAGCTATGAAATTCATGACTAGGTACTAGGATCAAAATACGCGAAACAGTAACTCGTAGTCTATGGAAACCATAACTAGCACTCTATGGCACATAGCGGTAGTCCAACTCATAACTGGGCAACAATGGGCGATCCAAATCCTAAATCATACATAATAAACGTGTAAAGGCATACAACATGCTCGTCATGCTCATTAAGTGTTAATGATCCAACCTCAACATACTAGAAAGCATAGAAGCCTAATGATCTATCAGAGTTCACAACTTTGGAAAGTACAAAATACCGAAATCTTCTCTCGGAATCAATAGGACATGGACTTCTAACATCAGAATGGGCTAACTCAAAAGGAGCTCTAGCTCGTTTATTGGTCCTAGGATACATACTCAAACATTGAAACTAGCTGGACTCACAATCTAAAGAAGACAAATTATTAAACTAAGGATGAAAACTCTTTAACACTAAAATAGATGGAGGACCCAAACAACAATGTTCTTCAAAGGGAGAGGACACTCGAGAGCATGTATAGACATGTGTGGTTCATAGATGTAGAGACCTCGAGATTTGCGCCATCTTCCAATAGTCCTCTTTATCGTACGATCTTTGTATGTGCAATAATCAAGAAATAATCAATCACGTTTCATATGTCTAGGCTTATGACAATACATATCTCGAATTTGATGCATGGTGATATGAACCAAGGCATCTCAATCATACAATATGAACTTGAAGGAAGTCGTGAAGAATGTTGTTCAAATTACCGCAAGATAAAGTCAAGTTCTGTTAAAGTTGAACTCAAGTTGCAATCAATTTCACGTTAAGAAGAATCAAGTCTCATTTATGCAACTAGGCTTCAAGCTGCTTCACTTATTCTTAGATGGTTACAAATTTACGATGGATAGATTTATGGTGTTTCATTCAAGTATTTTAAGTTTTAAGACTTTTTATTTATTTTTAGGTTACAGTTACATAGTAGCTAATTATGGTCATAAAGTATGAATGTTACAAACTCTTGAAAGACACGTCTTGTGGAAGGTCAAGGGTTTCATTTTGAGGTTATATAAAGCCATGTATGTTATCTTTGTGTCGATGTTTCTTTATTTTATGTATCTCTAGACCTTGTGACGCTTCATCATTTGCCTCCGTGCTTAGTGTTTCTTCCCGAGCATGTCAAACTAATATCAGTAATGAAGATTACTTGGTTAGTTTAAAACAACAAATGTAATGATTGCGTCGCTAAATTCAACTTTTTTCCCGATCTTACGTTATCTGTAGGCATATGTTCAACAGCTCGAGAGTAGTCGTTTAAAGTTGACCCAACTCGAGCAGGAGCTTCAGCGAGCACGGCAGCAGGTTGCCTGCATTTCCTTCTCATGATTTTTTTTCTTACCTCCTAAGTTTGAATCTCTTTAAAATGCCTATAAATTGTGTCCCTCTGTTTAGGGAATCTTCATATCAAGCTCTGGAGATCAGGCTCATTCAATGGCTGGAAATGGTACTTTAACTATCTCGAATCACGATATTTACTTTCACGAGACGACCTGAAATTTGTGATTCGATTATGTTTGTCTGTGAGAAACACTGTAATCTGACATGATTATTAGCCCGACACTGTTTCGCCTTCCGTTGTTGGGAGCTCAATAAGCTCCGTTTATTTCAGTCGTCATTCGAAACTGTGTGCTCGAATTATATAAACTTAACCAACTTTGTGATAGTAAATGTATTTTCTTTTAGCTATCTTTTCAGTTTGAAGTTGCATAGCATCAGATACTTCACATTTGCAGGAGCCATGGCGTTCGATGTGGAATACGCCCGTTGGTTGGAAGACCAAAACAAGCAGATCAATGAATTGAGAGCAGCCGTAAACTCTCATGCAAGCGATACCGAACTTCGAATGGTTGTCGATGGCATCTTGCTTCACTACGACGAGTTTTTTCAGTTAAAAAGCGTCGCTGCAAAGGCTGATGTTTTTCACTTATTGTCGGGCATGTGGAAAACACCAGCTGAAAGATGTTTTTTGTGGCTTGGTGGTTTCCGTTCATCAGAGCTCCTAAAGGTCTGCTCATTTTGATGCTCTCACAATCTTTATAGAACAACAAATATGTAGACTAAGGATATGATATAAACTTTTGGAAGGCCGGACATTATGGCCAATTAACAAACCACGAGCAATTCGTCTAGGTAGATGTGTGGGACAGAGGGCTCGTGGCACTAGCTGCCCTTGCTCTTGCTCCTCCGCTTTGGGAACCACGAGCAATTCGTCTGAATAGATGTGTGGGATTGAGGACTCGTGGTACTAGCTGCCCTTGCCCTTCCTCCTCCGCTTTGGGAACCGTGAACAATTCGTATGAATGGATGTGTGGGACAGAGGGCTCGTGGGACTAGCTGCCCTTGCCCTTCGTCCTCCGCTTTGGGAACGTTTTTTTGTTTCTTAGCATTATCAATGTAAACTGATGTTTTGATGTAAAGCTGTGAGTTTGACTAAAAATGATTGGTTTTGTTGCAGCTTCTTGTAAATCAATTAGAGCCGCTCACAGAACAGCAATTGTTGGGCATATCAAACTTGCAGCAGTCTTCACAACAAACTGAAGATGCATTGTCACAAGGCATGGAAGCGTTGCAGCAATCATTGGCTGAGACATTGTCCAGTGGATCACTTGGCTCTTCGAATGCGTCTGGCAATGTGGCTAACTACATGGGCCAAATGGCCACGGCCATGGGGAAACTTGGGACTCTTGAGGGGTTTATTCTCCAGGTATGCTTAACATTCTTTTGAACTTATCCCACCGAAATGCATTCTGTCTCTCAGATCCTACATCGCTTGGGGAGGAAAACGAAGCACTTTTTATAAGAGTGTAAAAACCTCTCCCTAGCAAACGCGTTTTAAAAACCTTGGGAGGAAGCTCAAAAGGGAAAGTCCAAAGAGGACAATATCTGCCAGCAGTGGGCTTGGACCATTACAAATGGTATCAAAGCCAGACACTAGGCAATGTGCTAGCGAGGAGATTGAGCTCTGAAGGGGGGTGGACACGAGGCGGTGTGCCAGCAAGGACACTAGGCCTCGAAGGAGGGTGGATTGGGGGGTCTCATATCGATTGGAGAAGGGAATAAGTATCGGTGAGGACGCTGGGCCTTGAAGGGGGGAAGGGGATTGTGAGATCCCACGTCGATTGGGAAGGAGAACGAAGCATTCTTTATAAGGGAGTGGAAACCTTTCCCTAGCAGGCGTATTTTAAAAACCTTGAGGGGGAGCCCGAAAGGGAAAGCCTAAAGAAGACAATATCTGCTAGCAGTGGGCCTGAGCATGAGCTGTTACATCTATCTTCCCTAGACACTTTTTCTAACCAGGGTCTTTGCATAATGATATCAGGCTGACAATCTACGACAACAGACACTGCAACAAATGCACCGGATATTGACAACTCGTCAATCAGCTCGTGCTCTTCTTGCAATCCATGATTACTTCTCTAGACTACGAGCCCTTAGTTCCCTGTGGCTAGCTCGTCCAAAAGAGTGAATGACGTTTTGATGTCTCCCCAAGTATATCGACAAAAGCCATTAGATAAACAATTCCATAGTTTCCATTTTTCATTTGTGTGCCTGATTACATGGTATCTGTCTTGTGATAATCTAAAGATGCTACTTGCAACAATCTGTATGTATCATTGTATCTGTATGTTATTTAATGCGAGTCTCTTTTTTTGGTAGAAAACAATTCTATTCCTCCAAAAGAATGTATAAAAAATAGGACGGTTAGAGATCATGGGAGGAAGGTGGAATTAGAGAAAAAGTTTTGAAAACCGTTAAAAAAACATTTGTTGCAAGCTAGCAAGCAAATAGAGACGAGAACAACACTCGTAGCATATAACTCAAGTAGGATCATAGCATATAACTCAAGTAGGAAGGTAGGAAGGAGAGTACGCCTACATAATACAAAGAAAATAAACAACTATGCTAAAGGAAAGACGTAATGAAAGCTTGGTAAAAAAGGGAGTTATAACTGACATGCACCCACCGACAACACGTCCGAAATGCTATCAAGGACCTAAGGCACATTGTATTGAACAGATTCACATCCTTAAAAAGCATGGTCTGCTTTCCATTTCAGCAGAAACTGGCAGGGAAGTTAAACTCTATAATGACAATTAGAGAAGTATACATTTTGGGCAACAGAGTAGAAGTGTGTAACTCAAGTTTTACATTTCACCACATTCAGCGATAACGCAAGCCAGTTTTGGTCGGTTGTTAGGGCCAGTAGCTACATTTTCAATCTTCCTGACAACCAAAAGGCCGTCACCCAGTACCCTCTGCAAAAACCACCACAGAGATGATAAGACTAGCACCCTAGGAGCAGAAAATAAAAAACGACAAAATTCGAGAATTCCTGCCTAGACTACAAAATGAAGCTAGGAAAGTAGTCATCTCGTCTTATAAACATCTCTAATAAGTAACATAACATAATCGACTGAATATGATTAAAGAATATGCAGGGATGAGAACAACTATGAAGACAAGGAACACAAACATATCATGTTGAACACAACTTTTTGTGGAAAACACTCAGCACTTTTTATTAACATCAATCGAGAAGAGATTACAAGACATTTGGTACTACTACATTCTGTGCTTTGTATTTTTTGGGATGCAGAGCTACGTAGAGAGTGGAGAGGTATTTATAGTATAGGCTACGCAATCTATTCCTCAAATATCTAAATTTTTCTCCTAAAATATCTAAATCTTTTTTCTAAAATATCTAAATCTTTTTTCTAAAATATTTAAGTATTTTTATTCTTAAATATTTTAAACATAAACATGGAAGCAAGCGAAAAATACACATGCACAATTTCAATTATCATTAGTCAACTGATCAATTAAAACCAGGCAAGCGTTCACATTGAGCTTCTTAGGGCCGTTTTTGATCTAGCACTCAGAATTTACACTTGTGATGGTATAGAAACGTTACAAGTTAAAATCCCAAGGAATCATTTGGTTTACAGATTCCCACGAAAGGGAAGGGATCAACGGAATTTTGGTGCATCAAAGTGATATGAACACAGAAGCCTCAATTGGGATTTCTCCAAGCAGCAAAACATGTACGTTAGATTGCAGAGGGATATTAGCGGTGGATGATTATGGTAGTGCTAGAAACATTCCATTCTGGGGGGTTGGGAACACATCTCGAGGTATGTTTAATTCAAAAATCACAATAATGAGATGTTTCCCTCCAATGAATCATCCCAAGGGATTGACTCAGGAAAAATTTAAGCAATGAGTCTCATCAACCAGATAATTTTACGTTTTCAAATATCATATATGTTATCATTATAATATGCAACAACAAGGTTGAAGGACTAGAAGCATACCCCAAACACCACGTGCTTGTTGTCGAGCCAATCACATTTGGCACAAGTAAGGAAGAACTGCAGCAAAACGCGATCACTATAAGAACAAAATAATTACCATTCCAAATGACGTAAAAGCAGCTTTAACAAAGATGCCCATCAGCACAAATCATATAGACCGTCTTTAATACTATGGCATAACATATCAAAGATAGTTATTCACCATCTGTGACTGTTGAAATACAAATTATTGTTCCAACTTCTAAAATCTATATTAGATCTCTTATCAGAATGGCCAGAAAGCATGTGTGGATGTTTTCTGATACTGATATAAAATTGGAAATTAGAAAGAAGTAGGAACTATGTGGAAGACTGGAGGTTCAATTCATCTCTCATCAAAATAACTCTGAACACATACACAAACGTACAAAAGCGTGAGAAAATTGTAATCAAGATATTTCATTGATGAATGAAATGAGGAGTCATCAAAGGTGGATTACAACAAAGAAACCCAATTGTTTAGTAGAGTTGAAAGACTACCATCCTTGAAAGGTTTTAAACTCTTTTTTTATGAGACAAAAAATTTAAGTTCTTTGGAAAATAGAACTTATTCCGGAAGAAGGGGTGTGTGTATGTGTGTGTGTGTGTGAGAGAGAGAGAGAGAGACAGCAACGTTATTGAAGTACCTGACATCCATTTGTCCCAGGCCCACTATTTGCCTGTAGAAGAAGCAGACATCATGGTAAGTAAGAATTATACAATGACAACACTAGATTAAAAAAATAGTGAATAGTGACCTTCTAAACATAATACTCTAAAACATAAGCAAATCTGTACTTGCATATCAATTATTTGACAAACAAACATGGTGGATAATTAATCTACTAGCATCAGAGATTTTTCCACTAGTAGAGTAGAATTTATTACCTAAGACCTCAATCTAAAGAAACACAGTGTTAAGTCGATAAACGAGTACAAAAACGGATGAAGAATAAATTTTCCACCCTGCCAACAGTTCTCCATCTACAGACTTACTGTTAGGACTTTGGAGAGAATCTCCAAACATCCTGCCCTTAACATCAAAGCCATTAGGATTCAAAGACCTTTAATACTATGATGGCAGAAGGTTTAATTTGCTGACGATATTATCATCCGTGCAAAATTCATAATTTTACAGTGAATATAGTATTTTCTTCTGCTCTTTCTTTTTTGTTTTTTTTTTTTTGGGAAGAAACCGAACGATCATTGAAAAAATGGAAAAATACAAAGACATATAAAAGACAAGATCAATACCATAATTACAAAAAGAATATTGACTAACGACCACAAGGAAACATGAAATCTAACAACCTTCCAACCCAAATCTCTTCACCCGACTTCTCATTCTCCCTAAAAATCTCATTATTCCTCTCATGCCAAATATTTACGGAGAATAAAATTAAGCAACGTAGGTACAATTACACAACATATATAAAGCATTGAATCTCATTTCAATAGAAAAGCATACCATTGACAATAAACCTGGTCCAGTGTGCTTAGCAACAAAATTTTCATCCTCAAACTTATGTCCGTAAATGGAAACACATCCACTGCCATCACCCTGCAAAACAAAGAGATCGGAAAATGCTTATAGATGATGAGGTGAAAGTGAGTAAAGAAACACTCTACAAAGTGATGCAATCAGAGTAGAGGGAGTTTTCTTTATTTTCATTAAAACAAAAAGAGACGACTAAGTTGATATGTTTAAACAACGACATAAAAAAATAAAAATTAAAAAAAACAGGAAGGAACCATGCTGACAATGAAAATAAGTGTTCAACCTAAATGAAATGACAAATGTAATCTCTGTCTGGGAATTAACCTTAATAATGAAAACTATAATGATCAATCATCATATACAGCAGAAGAGTTTGATTCAAAGTAAGATAAAGCAGGAGAAACATAACTGTAAAATGGTAGATTTTGATCACTTTTCCTTTCAAGACAAGAAATTTAGAACTATGTTCCTATTCTTGTTGTAGTTAACCGAAGGGCCGGAATACTAGAATTAAAGATATAGATGGTACTTAGTGTTCTCATCAGCACATAATAATCAATACATAATACACATATTAGTTAATACCTACATTGCCTAAACAGACCAATAGACTGGATTACCTTGACGAAGTCACCAGCTTGAATCATAAAATCCTTGATTACTCTATGGAATTGGCATCCCTTATAACCAACAGGCAATCCAGCTTTCCTGTCAATTGAGACCAAATGTTGAAATAAGTTCACCATACATGAAACGAGCTTGCATTGGAGACTTCCACCTTTAAAAGTTGACCACAAATTTTAATAATAAATTAATATATTATAAGAGACGTTGGACTCACAATAGTTCATGTGGAAACAAAAAAAAAAGTGTAATTTTAATAGCTCTAGAGGGTAGACGATGGAGTTCAATGTAAAGCTAACCCCAAAGCCCCTTTCGACTCTCAACTCTAAACCTTGTGTACGTAGAGGTTTCCCTAATATTTTAACTCCGAAGTTTAACCAGTTGCAAATCTTTTTTTTTTGGAAAAGAAATGGATCATAGCCTTCTTGCATGTTATCTATATTTACACGTGACAAGTTCAATTGTTCCTTAATGGGGAAAAAAAACTCAAAAATTTCCCAAATTTAAGAATGAAACTAGAATTTCTTAGTCAATAGATTCTTCAGAAATCTGTAGCTGAGATTTCACACTAGTTAACAAAACCATTTTAAACTCTAAGCTGACGCAGATAGAACTAACAGAATTCTAAAATAGTTACAATCATTAGAAGATGAGTAGAAAAGATCACTAGAAGTTCTACCACTAGCATGATTTTTTCTATCAAGATTATACTAAAAAGACTATCCATTTCAAATGACTTCCTCACACTTAAAAAGAGTACCCTATTTTAGGTCGAATAGAGAAATACTTGTAAAATTCTGGTTTTAGAGTTCTACTTGCCTGTATTCTCCGGTGCAGAACTGCCTGTCAGAGACAAAGTAATCGAAATTAGGAGACTGAAATAGATGGGAAAAGTAACGCTAAATAAACAAACTGAATACACAGAAGAGAAAGCAATGTCTCGGGGAAGACATAAATAGTTACAAATACATAAAGCTACATGATTCTACGCAATATTGTTACATATAAATAGAGGTAAGAGAAGAAAGTAGTTGAATCCACGAGAGTTCAAGTTCAAGGTACTTATAATCTTCTTTCTAAGGTGCTTCCATTCGTCAGGTCGATTAGCAAACGTGGATTCAAGTTAACAAACAAATATGATATTTCCACCCATGCTAAACTCGATGAATCTTTAGTTTGCTTCCCTTCTTCTTCACTTTTTTGTGAACTCTTTGATTTGTATTTCCTTGCATTCTTCTATTTTTTTCTCAAGGAAAATCAGTTTTTTCATTTTTAGAAAAATCGATGGAGCTGTCCGTAGATTTTAATAGAGCAACGGAGCAGAGTAGACCTCCGGCTTCCTGCTAACGCAAACTTATATTCCATAGCAAAGCTAAAACTTCAACAAAAAACCCTTTCGACTAGTAAATGATTCAAATCGCTTCACAGCAATCGAAGATCATTAAAGAATAACAAGAAGAACAAGCAGAAGAAAGCAGTGTGGATACCGAAAATTCTCGGCGGTTTTTGGAGCAATATCGGCGAAGAGCTCCATCTTGATACGACCAGCGGGAATAGTGCCAATGGTGACGTCGAAGAAAACTATTGGATTCTTAGGGTTAGGAGGCCTGACATGCCACTCTACGCCTCCACCTGCGGCTGCTCCTACCGACGCCATAGTTGTCACTCTCAAAGCTCTCTGAACTTCAGATACTCAGTTTTGGGTCTGCACAATTCGTGGGTTTTAAACAATGAATTTGGGCTTTACTGTCAAATTTCCGTTTCCGGCGAAAAATTACCCGGCAGGTCAAATTCATTATTATTATTCTTTTTTTTCTTTTTTTCTTTTTGATAAATAAATAAATAAATATGATATATATATATATCGAGTTTCGGCTTCCCTCTCCCTTCTTGAATTGTAAAGGCTATTTATTAGTGGGATAGGTTGAGTCAATGAATCTCTTTTCTTTTACCCCACTATAAAGGTTTGGCGCTTCCATCGCTTAGATTTAGGGTGATATGATAGGGCGCACCACAGACAGATACGAAAAATGACTGCTCAATCGAGAGGTCAAAGACAGAGACATAGTACCAGTTCCATCTCTAATCTTTGAGTAGAGTTTTTTTCCACATAATAGCGTCAACCAAAGACCAGCTTAGCAAGTTGTTTTATGCCATAATTAAACGCGAACACTCAAGAAATCCGTGTATATATATATATATATATATATATATATATATATATATATATTAATCATTGAAATTAAAAACCCTTTTTATCGAGTCCTTAAAGTTTCAAAAAATGATATGTTAAGTTCGTAAATTTAAAAAGATCTCTAAACGAAAATGTAGTAGTCATTTGCCCTACTAGTTTCAGTTCTACAAGAAATACCGATCATTTACCAGCAATAACTTTTTAGAATGGCCATCCTAATGAAGGTAGTATTCCCATTTTTTAATGAATTAAGGACTCCCTCCCAAAAATATTGGTATCCCAAAAATTGAAATACAATAACGAAAGAAGAGGTAAAAGGAAAAATAAAAAAATGAAACATAATAAAATGTCACATTGTTGATGTTATTTCACTAAAGTACAATTCAACTGTAAGTTCAAATTCTCATATAGAAATACAATGTTCCTATGGTTTAGTTATTACTGAGTCAATACGACTCCAAACCCAGCAGAGTAATTCTGAGAAGCAAATAAGAACATCCACACCCAAATTGATATACCATCCATTAATAAGTTGCGAAGAGATTAGTCATAGATAATCTCTTAACCATTCCATCAAAAAGTGGAAGATTCGTTATCCTGACATAATGTGTTAGTTCTTCCGGTGCCAATAAAATGTAACCTATCCAATGATATTTAATGTCTAAAAAACTATCAAATAAGCTATAATATCATTGAGTACCACCTCGTCCCAAAATTAATGGGCATCTCAAGGCTATAAAAATCAGCATCACAACCCTCTTTTATTTTTAAACAACAGTTTCTTTCTCTTAAAGTATTAAATTAGACCTTAATTACATGATTAAGGGTAGCTTAGGCGAAGATGTAATTTTAGGTCTTAAAAAAACCCATTGACAATGACAAACAAGACCTGAAACAAAATAGATCAAAATAAATATAAGTAACAATATCGACTATTACAACACGTACGTTATCAAAAAATTGAATTAAAAGAAGAGATAGATCCTTCTAAGAAAAGAAAAAACATAACAATCTGGTCAAACTGTCAATTAAGCAGCCTAAACATCATTAACATCATGTAAACAGGGCAAGGTAATAATTTACACTGAAGATTTGGGAATCCTGTACTGTTTCTTGAGAAATTGGGAGGCTTCTGAATCACTCCTATGACACAGTATTCTCAACAAAGTTTTGGAATCTGCCCCTGGCTTGTATCTGCTGCTATGCATGTTTCCTCCACTAGCAGATCTCAAATCCTCAATCAGTTCTCTGGTCTGCAAAACAAGAAGGGTTCCATTGCGCTTATGCAGTTTAGAGTGGCATTCATATGAGATACATTGTGAAAAGAAGTGGCTAAAAAGTGCCTACTTTTTCGTGAAGTTTGCTGAGGTATAAGAATGTGTTCAAGTAAAAAACCTAAATGCTTACGTATATGAGTATTAGACGTAGTAGCTGAGTTTAGCTCGACAGTTCGGGATATCTATTCCTATTCTTTTTTATGAAGTTTAAGATTCAAATCTCTCACAATATTTGTGGTACAATGTATGTAACAACCCAAGTTCACTGTGGTACAATGTATGTAAGGCTAGCAGATATTGTCTTTTTGTACTTTTTTTTTTTTAGGCTTTCTCTCAAAGTTTTAAAATGCGTTGGCTAGGGAAAGGTTTTCACACCCTTATACAACCAATGTGTGGACTGTGAGATCCCATATTCATTGGAGAGGGGAATGAAATATTCTTTATAAGGGTGTGGAAACCTCTCCCTATCAGACGCATTTTAAAAACCTTGAGGAGAAGCCCGAAAGAGGACAGTATCTACAACCCCGAAAGGGAAAACCCAAAGAGGATAGTATCTGCTAGCGGTGGGCTTCACTGTTACATAGTAACAAAAAAAAAAAAAAAAAAAAAAACTTCATTCTCCAGGAAAAGAACAACGAAATCTGCTGGGATTTAAAAGCATTTTTAAGAAGTAAAATAGTAAACAAAGAAGGCATATGTACGAGCAGATATAGATATAGCAAGCATAATTTTCAGAAAGAAAATAATAATAATAATAAAATTGTTATCCAATGAGGAAATTTTTTAAATGCAAGTTGAATTGAAACAATTCATGGGAACTAGAGACCTTTCGAATTTACATCAGGAGCGTACTCCTCTTAATTCTATGGGTTTACTGTGTGTTTACACGTCCTACAGCATATGGGTTTACTAAAAACAGAGGTGATTTAGAGGCCATTTTTTGGCTATCGATCCAGCTCCTCGACATATCAAGAAGTTAAGAACAGAGGAAAAAAATCAGAAAAAACTGAAAAGTACGAAGCATTTTCAGCATTTTTGGATTTAAGGCTACGGATTTTGCAGGAACCATCAACTACAAATGCAAAACAGAGAAAGAAACTAACCTCATAACCATGCAACTTTATGACATCCCGTACATGTGCTACCAGATTTTCAACCACCCCTCGTGGAAGACCATCTCCTCCAGAAATGAAAAATTCCTAACAATCGATAAGGGGTCAGTCTTCTCATATAGAAATCATTATGAACAAACAAGGCAACTCAACATATTCACGAGGTTTCTTGATCCTAAGAATTTCAAACATTTTGAAATTCCAATATCCCAACAATGAACATTTATAAGCCCTGAAATGAAAGAATCGTAAATACCTTCAAGACCTCTAAATCTTCTTCTAATAGCTTTGCATCACTGGTGCTAAATAGCCGTGACGGCCCTCCATCCAGTATCACTCGAAGAAGACCGTCCTGAAAATTTAAACAGTGTTAGAAACAAGAAAATAAATGATAATACAGATTAAATGAAGTGGCGAAGACGGAAAGTTCAGAGAGAGAGTAAAATATATGTTTCCATAGAACAAGGTGAAGAAATTGACCAGTGATGCTTGAAGGAGGCTGGTCACAATGCGATCTCTGAGTGGCTCAACAATAATATCACAGAGTTTACTTAGTTCCTGCACAATTGACCACAATGTGAAAACTACCAAGCTGGAGTGCATTGTTTCCCATAAAAGAATAATAATAGTAAAAAATAAAGAATCTGGAGTACCAATGTAATCTCCATCTAAAACATCACACGGACATCAAACGAAGGGGAAAACTCATTATTATATCAAAACTACGAACTTTTTACAGAATACAAGGTAAAGTATACATTAGTGACAAAACTATCAATATACATGAAGATTGCAAGGAAACTCCTACCGTATCAAGGGGTTCAATTAGGGCTTCCAACCTAGAATGGAAAACACTAGGTTTATAGAGGCCATCAATGAATGGCTCCCTCAGATCCCAGAAGACAATTTTTGTTCCTGAAAATAGAGAAAACTTTTGAGTTTTACGAAGATATGAGTTCGTGAAAATTGACAGCAATAAATTCTTCCTACAAATCTTACCAGTAAACTCACAAATGCGGTCTGTAGCAGTATTTATATCCTTTCGGCTTCCATCAAAGGATTCCTTTTTCTTGGTACCACTTTTTGATTCTTCATCCATGGATTTTTCTACCCAGGAAAATCAACATTCACATATTATTATGGTATGACAAGGCAGGTTTATTATATAATGTAGTTCTGTAAAGGATAAAACTCCTAAGTCTATAACCATCATGAGATTCACAAGTGACTCTGATATTAATGAAATACACAGCAAAGTTAGAATGCATACATATTCCCCAATTCAAACTATACATTTCAATTTTTAGAAATACATGGGGAACCAAACAAGTGGATCCTGAAGTTATAAATGGGAATTTCCATTTATCTTTTTCATCATAAAAATTTCCTTCTGTAATGGGTTACAAAAAACTATTTTGTTAATACATTGAGCACAGTGGTCTCTATATTACTTCCAGATTTACTTCACATAATTTCTACAACATTTTCCTCATTCGTGAATTTGATTCTTCTTTTAGGAAATTAAACTATAGAGATAAAACGAGATTTGCATCAAATATTAATTCTTGAGAGAATTCATCATCTCATGATACAAAAGAGTTTGATCTGCACATATCTGCAAGTCATATCAGATTTCACTCAATAAGGGACGATTAAGTTATCTATAGAAAGAGTTATGTTACTAATATGTAGCAACTCTTCCAAGCCTATCGTTACATGCCATTACTTCAATAAGCATAAGGGGCTTCCTTCCGATCATCATGTCTTATGATGCTTATAATAGACTCTTTTGAGGGCTAATTCCCGAGATATTAAAATTCAATAGAGAAGGGGCCTCATTTTTATTTCTCACAACGGCTGCACTCAACATATAGGGATTATGGCATTTGCTCATTCTTTACTTTTTCTTTGTCCTTATGTTCAATGTCTTGATTCAGTTTTTTCAAAAATTTTGGATGGCTTTCTGTTGAACATCTACTGTGCAACTACGAAATGGGCATGCAATTTGAAAATGGGCAGTTGCAGCTTCGTTTAAATAACTAGGCAAATATTAAGACAAAGATGAATATCTTACTTGTCCACTCTAAGGAATATAGTTTCAGCCTCATTTTTGGGCTTGCAATTAAAACATTTC